TATCACACTTCGCTCTGCTTCAATATCTCGATTATTCAGATTGCTGTTGAGAAGAATGTCGGCTAGGATGTCGACAGCTTTAAAAGTATAAATCAAAAGGCTAAGAAGGAGAGACCTTATAAAAACTTACAGTGCTCTAAGTCCGTGGAAAAGCATTTGGCATAATAGACTGTTTGTTCGCGAGATGTATATGCATTCAAATGAGCACCGATATCTTCGACTTCGAGCTCTAGTCCACTCCGTGTTCGGCGAGATGTGCCCTACAACTGAACTGAGATTGCAGGTCAACTATCAATTAACCTCTGCTCCAGTTTGGTAGTACATCAAGATTTTCTGAAAGTCAATAAAGCATCGACTCAATAAAGACGAGAAATAAAAAAGCTCGGCCATAAATCTCTGTATTTACAAGGCAAAACGTAATCAAACTACGGAGCTCATAACATTGACTGAAGGAAAGATTCTCGAGAATGTTGCTAATGATGAGGTACTATATCGCTTGCGCCGAGCAACCCCCCGCTTGCCAAAAAGGCTTTTTTATGCATTGAGGCAAGATGACACACCACACCGGAATAAACTCGTAAAAAATGATTTTCTTCGCACTTATATCATGGAACCTCAAATCTGCCTGTTGTAGAACCTAGAAGAAGTTTTTAGCAAAGTCGAGTCTGAGCTACCCACATATACCCGCGGTAAGTTCAAAAAATGCGCTTGTGATCAACGCATGAAAAATAATGTGTTGGAATTCAGTCCACCCTAGACTTTGACCATACATTACCAGTATTATCTTACCCGTTACTGGTGTTACTCGCGTTACCAGTGTCACCCGTGTTACTAGTGTTTCCGCATATATAGCTATTAAGAAATAGTGAAATGATTGCTTTTATATTGGTAATCATTTCATTACGCAGAGCTAAAAAAACGGTAACACTAGTTAACACTATAACATTAGTAACACTACTGACGTAACACTGATAATACCGGTAATACAGGTAACACGGGTAACACTGGTAGCACAGGTAACATGGGTAACAGTGGCAGTGTATGGTCAAACCGCTAGCAATTCATTTGGCAACAATTATGGGGGTTGTATTGCCAAAAGCAGCTCCTCATATAGTGAGATCTTGACCATTGTGCATAGACAAAGGAAAATACATAGAAAAAATAGAAACAAAAGAGGACTCATGTCCCATTTCAAGACTTTTCAGTACTCGATTAGCTTTGATACAAAAACACCACGACGAACATAAGGTCAAAAAGAAAAAGAAAAAAGTGCAATGAGAGCGAAAATCTGCATTTACACTTGCGCTCACCTTGAAAGCCATATGCTCGAGAAAATGTGCAGTACCATTATTCGCTGGGGTCTCGTATCTGGATCCGGCATCAATCCAAACACCGATCTAAATGCAATACATGAATTCAGAACGTACAAGGAAAGAAGCGCAATAAAAACCAATGTTCAGCACAACTTACAGTAGCGGTTGGGATCTTTGTATCTTCTGTTGCTACTCTGAAACCACTCGGGAGTGTTGTGACCACTGTTTCAGGGAAAAAGACATCTCGTGCTGCTGAGAGCATAGACTTCCATCTTCGATTTGGCTGAAAAAGACTCGGAATAAATTATGCAGTTCGAATTCTCAAGGAAATTTGACATTCCAAAAAAAGGCCTGCAAAAATGACCAGAATTGCAGAGTAAAAATTTGTAAAGCTCACTCACCTTGAGAATCCGTCCTCCTATCCGCTGCATGGTCACAGGATAATCTTGGCTAGAGAAAGAAATCGCGGAAGGACGAGCAATTTGGGTGATGCAATAACGTGACCCAATGTATTAAAGGATTCATGTGAAGTAGCGATGGAGCGCATTATCTCAGGTACTCATTAGACTCTTAATTTCACTATTTTGTCTCTCTTTTTTTGTTTTTGGTAAGCCTCAATTGCAGGATACTTACCTACATTGTAGTTACTAGTCAGTAATTTTTTACGGTTTTTTGACGTTGCCAGAGGCATTTTCGAGATTTATTGGAAGCCAGGATCTGTTCTGCTTTTATTGTTTATCCTTTCATGAGTTCTTTTTGCCTTTACTGTGTTTACCTTTGTCAGAATCGATAGCACGCAATCATATTTTTATCGGTCACTTCCCATGTTTTGCGTGTCTTATTCTTTCTAGCACTCTTCCTGAATTCCAAACCGTCAAGATCTTACAATTTGAGTATCGGAGTTCATATTTTCATTGGTCATCCTTGTTTTGCATATCTTATCCATGAATTCTAAACCCTCAAGATCTTACAAATTTGAGTTTCGGGATCATCTCACAAAACATAGAGCATGTTTGGTTTTGTCAAAGCACTGAAATTTTTCTGTCATCATAAAAGGACGCCATTATCATTAGTCTTTGCATAAG